ATGTTGTTTTCAATGCAATGACCGATTCATTTGTATCAGATACTTGATAAATGTTCATGTTTCACGATGAGCTGTATTTCCGTAAAAGCGCAAACCATTGGTACTCGACGTTATCAAAGGCATCACGCCTACACCAGAACTATCCAACGTCATTGTTTTAGATACCTGAAACGCCCCAAGAGTTGTAATATCGTTGTAATTGAGCTTAGCAGCAGTAGAAGCCAGTCAGCACTATGGTGACTCATCAGCGTATCAGCATTTTGATGTCTATTCAATCTCTAAGTCATTGTAGAAGGATCTCTATATACCTGAGTCATCACCTGAGTCATCACTTTTTATCAATACTCCATCTTATATAATAATAAGAAGGTACAGCATGATAGATGACATACATGATATTGTAGTGACTAGAAAGACGTGGGAGGAAAGTGCAAAAAATGGTGACTCGGTGACTCATGCTGACTCTTATATCTAGAGTTACTGTAGTCGGCTGTCATTGAGCGGAAGGTGGTGACTCATGGTGATCCATTCGATTTTAAGATCTAGAGGATCTTCAGACCATTTTTATGATTGCCGGGTTTTATTTTGTCCGCTCGGTTATGTTCAGAAGTGGTTAGTTCGTATTATATGGTGTCTTTAATTTATTTAGTCACTACAACCAGAGTAAATCGAGAGTAAATCGTAATTGGAAGACATCAAGTTTCAGAGGAACACCACGGCACCTCCCAGCACATTCAATTTCAATTTGAGTTGATGGTAGTGAGAATGGTTTCAATGTTATCAACGCTTTTAGCAGGGGATCAAATTTGATGAAGAAGATTAGAAAGCGGTTCTAGTTTCAGATTGTATGCACGAGTGTGAAAATGGACCAGAGGTCAAGGCAAATTTCTGGAAAGCCTCCTTATGGTGCAACAACAGGCCGATTGGTTCTGGGCGTTAGCGCAGCATCAAAAACATCAGCTGCAGGAATTTGCACGAGCGGGTGATCCAAGGAGTTAGCATTGGGACGGGT